TAACCTCTGAGTCCTAAAGAATACTTAGCTTTAGTTTTTGTCCTGAACTTGTCCTGAGTTCTTGTGGAGCATCCTTGACTGCTGTCACTGGATGTTTTCGGCTGGGACGGTTGAGTCTTGCTGTACTTGGATTGGCTGTGGGGTAGCCTTGGCAACCGTTTGCTGAACCTGTCGGCTATTCGGTCCGGGACGCTAGTCTCGTCCTTCCGTTCCGCCGGTCCTTGTGGTGGTGCGGTGGTGAAGCAGGCAGCAATGTAGCTTCTCACCCCGGGGACTCGGATTCGACTCTCGACTTGGCAGTGGTGTTCTTGGGCTTAGCAGCCGCCTTCGGCTTGGCCATTGAATGTTCTCCATGTTTAGATCTGTGGAGTGGTGAGGTACAAGAAATGGAGTTTATGAAAGGAGTTAAACGTGTAGTTCATGACTCGGAGCTTCTTCTTCTTGTGTTTGTCCTTGCACTCTCATGTGAGTGCCATAATGTCCATCATGTCTGCATCATCGTTGGCTAGGTGACAAGTCTTCATAAAACTGCACTGACACTTGAAGAGTGAAGAATTACAGACTGCATAAACGACACTTGCACTCCATAGCAACACACTAGCGGGGGCCCCGCACCACCCTTTTTCTGCAACCTAGCCTCGCTTCGAGTCCCCTGACCGGTGCTCGCTACAAGTCGCTCTGTTGTTGTTTACTTGTTGTTGTGTGGGGCTTCGCGCGCGAGTGTTCTCTCAGTGATCGTTTCGTCATGTCTCGCGATATTTACTTTAACGTACCTCCAGGGCATGTGGCTCTTACCGGCCTTGCGTATGAATCCGTGTATGTTCCGAGCCATGAACTGTGGTTTACCTGTCACCGATGCCCTAGCTTTGTGGCGTGGCACCCGGATTGGTTACCTACGGAGAATTACTCCACTTGGTTCTCCGTCGTTGGGATTTGGGATTTGCAGGACCTGTGGCCTTGTGCCTTCTGCGGTTCTGGTTGTTATGTGGGTTTTTTTTTTCTTTGTTTTTTGTCCTTTCTCTTTTCTCTTTTCTTGTCTTTTACTATCCCTTTCTTTTCAGTTGATAATGCACTCCGAAAATCTGACTCTCCCGCCTTCTCCTCCAACCTCGCCCCCTGCTACGCCTCCCGCCAGCCCTTGTAAGTGTCTGTTTCTGTTCGTTGTCAAAAATGTTGGTCCCAATCATGCAATTCATGCACCACGCCTGGGACGTCAACGGCAGGAATGTCACTGTTTGTGGGGCCTGTGTACTCCTGGTTGAACCGGCGTTATATACTTTGTCGGGTAACCATCGGTTTGGGATAGATTGGGTTGAAGAGGAGAGCCTTCACCAGCCTTTTTATCACTGTGTGGAGTGCCATGAACCGGCTTATGTATGTTTTCCGTGATGACCCGGTCTTTTCCTTTATAACATCCTTCCTTTATATTTTCTTTTCTTTTTAGGATGTTATCCCTTTTCCATTGGTTCCACCTCCCCCTCCTCCACCTGTTAACCCTTCTGAGGAGTGAGGTTAGCTATCTCTTTCTTTCTTTTCTTCGGGATTTTCTTAGCAATTTTCTAACTTCTAATTGTTTACTCTGTGATTTCAGTGACTTTCATTTTGTTTGCCGCTTTCTCTTTTTAAAAGAAGTTATTTGCTGATTCTGGCTCTGGCTCGTGTTTTCACCATTCCTATTATGAGTTTTGCTGGAGTTTTTTACTATTGCTCATGTTTCCATCATTCTTTTCCTCCTGCTCATGTGTTTTAAAATGGCTTGGTCCTTGAGCTTGAGTTATCTATTTTGAGTAAATCTTTTCATCCTTGTTTTGTTTACGTTTTTATTTTATTTTGTAGCTCTGTTATTATTCCTGCTCTACATGATTTGGAATTTGTGAAATAATAACTATGGGTTACATACAACAATTTTTATTTGGGCTTTATGACAGAAAAGAACACTTGTACAATTATTATTTTACTTCTTTCTTCTCTTTTCTCCAGTGCATGCTGCCGTCGGATGTCCTCGCTGATTGCACCTCCTGCACCGTATCTTGAACCCTGGGTCGTCCGGATGGAACTTTTTCTCTCCCTTTTCTTTCTCTCTTTCCTCTTGTAGTTCTTTCATCCACTTCGCTTTTGGTGTGGGCTTGGATAGGCAGTCTTCGTCTATGGGATGTAACTTCCATTTGCTCTTGTTCAGTTCTTGTAGTTTCTCTGTTATTTTTGTGATCTCCTCCTCTTCCTTTCTTATCTTGTCATCTATTTCTTTCTCCTTGTCCCCTGTTGTCTCCATTATTTCCTGTAGATCTTGCAACTCCTTTTCAAATCCACTCACTTTTGTTTCACCTTTCTCTTCCGTTTCACTCTCACTTTCACTTTCACTTTCACTAGAAGAACTTGAACTTGAGCTTGAGCTGGAGCTTGAACTGGAACTGGAACTGGAACTAGAGCTAGAGCTTGATGGTAATTTTTCCGTGTTTAAAACTACCTCGCATTCCCCTGGCATGCACACATGTTCGGTCCCTTCAATTTCCATGGTTTCTTCGGTTGCTCCTTTTTCTTCCTCCTCTACCATCTCCATCCAATTCATTCCTGACTCCGCCAGTTCCTTTGCTCGTCTTGCCTTCCTTTCCTTGTCCTGATCAGCCCTCTCTAACACCATTTCCATCTTACTTATTTTTGCTGGGGATGCTGCTGCTTCAGGCGCCAACTTCCTTCTTAGTTGTTTTGCTGCGGGTGCCTTCTTCATAATGATTACCTGCCTCTGCTCTTCATCCTTGCGAAACTTCTCTTTTATCCTTTGCACTTTTTCTTCTAGCTCCCTGGGATCTACTGGCTTGGTAGGAGTTACCCTGGCTTCCACCCTGGCTTGCAAGATTTTCCTCTCCTCCCCAGTCTTCCCTTGCACTATCTTCAAGTTAGAGAAGGTACTCCTTCTCTCCGGCACCTGATCCTGCTCCATTTCACTTAATTTGCACTGTTTCAATTCTCCAAAATCACTTTTCACTCGTTCACCTTACTCGTTTACTTCGCTACCGACGCTTAACTTCTCACAACAATGCACCTGTGTCACTTGTTTTTGAATCCGGTGGCGCGATTTGCATTTGTTTGGTGACTTCCTTCGGCCAGTTCCCAGTCGCTATCTCGAGATCTCGAATCCCAAGATGGCGTCTACTCGGCCTCTGTTTCCGCCTCTGTTACGTACGTTAACCAAGCATTACCCAGATCTAAAACTCCTGTTTCATCTTCATCTGGGCATTTGGCTAACCGATCCATATGTATAATTAACTTTTTGTTGGGGTTAAGCGTGTGTTGTATACGGGCATTGCAATCATTTATTGCGTCCAGTAGAAGGTACGGTCCTTCCCATCTCGTAAGTAGCTTTGTGGATACACCTTT